CTGCAACCAGTGCTTGTATGACAGGACCACATCAGACAGTGTCTGTACTATGTGGGCATTCCCTTGTATGAAGTATTAGCGCTGTAAGCGCAGATTTAGCACCATATATGGCGTGCCTGCTTTGTACAACCCAAGCCTCGGAAGACATTGGGGAAGTCGGAGGCCATTACACTCAAGTTGTCACAGAAAATTTCAGAAACACAATTCACGAGGCCAAGAGGTTCACTGGCTTGAAGATCGAAAATTGCTTTCAACAACAGGTCTCAGTAGAATTGCTCAAAATGCTCACCTTTTGCTTGTTCCCACATCCTCAATACGTAACGCTCATAAGTTTAGTTTTTCTTAAGAGAGCAGTAGCCTGAAAATTTCTCTACGAACGCTGTGTGGGTTTGCCCTGCTTCCAGCTTGAAGGTGTCGTAGACTTCCACTGCGTTTTTTTTTTTTTTTTTCTGATGACATGGAGGAACGACGCAATTTTTTTGTCCATCCTTCCTTTTAGTAGGTGTTTCCGTCGCTTCCATGACGATTTCCAGCCGCTGGTGGAATCGTCTCCAGTTTTCAGCGATGTTGCCTGTAAACTGGAGCGGCTCCGGTGCGCGCGTCGCGATTTCCCGCGGGAAGCAGTGCCGGATGTAAACGAACGCACGCATCACTTCCGACGAGGCTGTGATTGGCACCGCCGTCCAGCGACTCGTTTTTGTGACTTGAAAAATCGGTCAGGAAGCAATTGCCCCATACCGGTCGCTAGCGACCTGTTTTGGTCGCTCTGCGACCAAAAATTAGTCGCTAGTCGCTGGTCGCTCCAGCGACTGTCGCAAGTGTGAACGGGCCCTTATGCCGGGACTCACAATAAGCTCAAGAAGGGGAGCGCACTACAGTCACCCCAGGTTGCCAGCACAACTATATATATATATATATATATATATATATATATATATATATATAACGGGCATGGTGGCGGGAGGCCGAAGGCGTGGGTATAAAATTGAGAAGAATATATATATATATATATATATATATATATATATATACAACACGGGCACTTCACGTCATCGTACGTGGTCTCCGAGGAGGATATGAGCGAATATGTGCAGATGAATGAACCGTACTTAATCCAATGAATTAAAGAATCCAAGTTTTTCAGGAACCCGCCGAAAGCCAAAAAACGGCGGAGCCAGGATTTGAACTCTGGGCCTCCCAATATATATATATATATATATATATATATATATATATATATATATTCATATATATATATATATATATATATATATATATTACAGTTACAAAACAAATTGTGTTAGCAAAAAAATAAGCCTTTCCACTTTGGTGAAGAAGGAAGTGCAGCGGGGCTGTACTATGCGCCGCCATCTATAAGCTACAGCGGCAACCAGACAACTGGCAAGCCGGTTATCTGGTTGCCGCCGTCGCTCATAGATGGCTGTAGCTGTTCAGAGCGTTGTGTCGAGATTTATTTGCCCACAGACAGGAAACTGGGAAAACTAGCCAAACAGCCCCGCTGTAAGAAAAAAAAAATCTTTACTTGAGAATAATAATAGGCCATGAGTGATCTAGTTCCTGCAAGCGCTCACTTTGGTTAGTGCACTAGGAACAAGTACATTACCTCGTATATCGAGCGAAACAATTCCAACTTGCACTGACTTGCTTCCAATTCTGCCCAAGGCAGCAACCCCAAAATCGCCCTAAAATGTTTACGATCAATGTTTGTGTTCTGTGTATGATTAGACAGCCAAAAACCAGTCGGCCTCAACCGGCGTCTGGTGTCTCAGCTGTAGATGTGTAGTTTAGCCAGTGCAGTACCACTGCTAGCGTGGGGTCTTGAACCTGCATCACGTAGTAGTGACACACGACCGCACGCCAGTACGAAGCTCGCACATATCGAAACGGGCGGGAGTAGGATGCCTTAATGTTCTTCTGTTTAGGGTGATGACATCGTTTGTAGTACCTGATGCCGACAGCACGCGCTCCAAGGGAAAATACAAAGAAATCGCAGGAAACAAAACGTCACCGTAGCACGGTCAGCGCCACGAGCGCGTCCAGAAACACGCTCTTTCACTTGCTTGAGAACCAAAAATAAAAATAAGCGTTCGAAACAAAATGGCCAGATGTCATCACCCCTAAGCAAAGGGCACATGAAGGCACCCTAGGGGGGAGTGGGCACTAATACCCAGGATGACCGAGTTCTACAGCGCGAGCTTTCGCTCCACGTGCTTTAACACGCTCGGTGACCGATGCGATGTGAAGACAACTCGCAAGAACAGTGCGAATCACAGAAATCGAAACTCTAAAGCCGCGGTCGCAGTGCTTATAAGGCAATCTGCAGGCAATGTGTCTGAGGCTTGTTTCTTCCCTGTATGGGCGCTCCTCATCGGTCATACTAATCTTGTCTGCAGACATATATTCTGAGCCTAGTGTATGAAGCGAACATGCTTTGAACCTGATTGAGCCGTGTCTGCCGACACTTCTGTCACCATGTCCGCGGCGTACACCGCTCTCTCGCCTGCGTCGAACGGTGCCAGAGCCCTATCCTCGGCAAAACTCGCTCATGAGTGCACTCACTCACCTTCGCCGATCTGGCGTGAGATGAGGGTTAGTGAGTTTGTAAGCCTAAAAAAACTCGTAAGTTACAGGCTTGAGTGAGGGGCGTGAGTTCGGGGATTTCGTGAGTTCGATGAGTTCACTGAGTTCATGAGTTTGGCGAGAGGGGTGAGTTTGTGAGTTTGGTGAGTTCGTGAGTTTGGCAAGGCACGAGGTATCTGAGAGGTCATGGGTTCGATGAGGGTTTCCGGGGTTACGTCGAGGAAGGGCGGGACATGTGACATTTCCGTTCATTTCCGGTAAAGTTGAGCCGACCCTCGCTTCGGAATGGCGCTGTTAGTTTGTACAGCTGGTTCTACGAGTGATGGAAAAGCAGAAAATGGTGCCTATTGATTTATCTGCGCTCTTCAGCTTCGGCTCGCTTCGCGGCGGCTTGGCGTCGTCTTTTGCCGTTTAAATGCTGCTCTGTGGCCGAATAACAAGAGAGGGGGTACGGGTTTCCCGCTCGCCTCGGCCGCTCTCGTGTAGGCTGCGAGGCACTGATATACGTGCAGCGTTTTGTTATTTCGTGAAGGAGGCAAGCGGGCGCCGCGCCGCTACGCCTGAAGGCAGACGTTGCTATTTAGAGTGCGCTCGTCTTATGCATGGTGGCTAACCCTGAAGGCAATATTAAAGTAAAAGCCGGCTGGGAACTGTCGCGATTCGCCTGTACACTTGTTTATTCACGTTGTAGCCTGAAGTTGTGTAAGAAAGCACGCACACACGTCTTCGTGCTCGACTACGTCCGAAATGCCAGACTCGTTTGTAACTGGTTTAAAAAAGAAACAAACTTATAGAGCACTTCCATTTTACGTGAAGATGGAGGACCAGCGAAGCTGTTATTTTTACGACTTCTGACGACCTGAAGGGCGACTTCTGGACAACCTCGAGGACGACGCCTAGGATGACCTCTCGGACAACCTCAAGGACGACTTTTAGGGCGACCTCGAGGACAATGCCTCGAGACGATAACAAGGGATCAGAACCTCAGTATCTAATAATGCTAAGGAAGGCTGACTCACGCTGGTTGGACCCCTCTTTTTATTTTTATTTATTCATACTTGCCACGACCAATGTGTAGTTTTCTGTCATCACCCGCGGACGCACTTTTCCCAAATCTTAGCGCATCACAGCTTAGCTGTAAAACTGCTACATTTATTTGGTAGCATATAAAAGTTCATTCGATTGAGGATTGTCATAGAACAATGGCACACGATAAGTCTCTAGTTTACAATCAAAGAGACATGAAAGGATTGTTTTGCTTTCACTAATATTGGTGATAACAGATGGACGTTCCTAACCTGCTATCCGACACCCCGTTAGTCGCTCAAGAGGGGGCCATTGAGCAGAGTCGGAATACTGGCAGCACGGAGAGAGGGGATTGTTTTTTCCTTGGCCGTAATTACAACTGAACCACAAAAGTGCTTTCTTCACTTGCGGGTCAGGTATAAACAAAATTCTAAAACTTGACTAATTTCAATCAAAATCAACGATTGACGTAATTTTATACGAAATACCGCGAGAGACTAGCTAAATTACTGTACCCGTTAGGCTTTCCGTGCTGTAACTCAAAGACCTAACGCCTCATCCGCAACAACGGTTCTTGTTGATGCCTTGGTCTCGCAGAAATGGCTCTGGAAAGGCTACGAATGACGCAGTGCCATTCGATTCGAGCCACAGCTTGCACACCTGGAGTTTAACCCCGGAGAAACATCCTGCGCTGTGATGTAAGCGCGTGATACGTCACGCTTAGCTTGTGTCGTATCGCTTTAAAGCCGCGCTCCCTCCACTAATATATTGTACAAAAGACAGTCCGCAGACACCGTCTGAAGCATGTTGCTTGCTTGTATGACGGCCCTGTAACATTGGTCGTACAAAAGCTGCATGCATACATGTTCGAAGTACGTAAAAAGCAAACGTGCTTCGACCATGCTTCACTCGTGTTGTCCGATAATTCTGTTATCATGCCTGCAGGCAAACGTTGTGTCTTTTGCATGATGTACGAGCAGGGTGACCACGTCTTTACAGCCACAAACTTAAATAAAAGCCCAAGATGCCGAACTTGCTATAACGGCCGCCCATTAAAGTGCCCGCAAAAATAAACTGTTCGTGAAGTTTGTCGCCGAAAAAAGTGCGTCATCTGCAGTACCGAGAGTATAAAATGTTTGCCGAGCAAAGCGAAATAACTTATCACTACGGCCTGAATAAAAAAGAAAAAGAGGGGAAAACATTATGATGCTTATAGTGAGCCGCTGTTCCGTTGGAGCAGAACATCCTGCCGCGCACCTGCGTTTACTCGTACACGCAAAAACTCACGTGATAGCCCCAGATTCGAGCAGAGGCGATCCAGTTAGCCGCCTCGTCCTCCCCGTTTGCCATTTTTTTTTTTGCCACAGCCTCAGTTTTCCAGACTTTCCTGAAAGTCATGGCTTCGAGATTCTTCGAGGGCCGGCTCGTTCTGGTGACGGGAGGTGGCAGCGGCATTGGAAGATGCGTCTGCCACGCCCTCGCCCGTGAAGGGAGTCGGGTCATCGTGGCCGACATTGACTTGAACGCGGCGGAAGCTACTCTCGGGTCATTGCCGGGTAAGTGTGATGACGGTCCCGAATGAATTCTTTCCCGCTAGTCAGAGGACCATGCGTGCCTAAAGCCGCGGTGACACTGCTAATACAGGGTGTCTCAAATAGCGGCCAGGCTCTTTAAATCGACCGCAAAAATCGGTTTCTTAACGATGCTTTTGCAGCGTTGCCCTCAGGTACTGCATTTTTCTATAAAATTTGCAAAGAGCAAATCTCACTCAGGAAAAAGTAAAAAAAAAAAAAAAAAGGTAAAGGCTTATCTTTTATGGAAACACAGCGAAGCCACCGGTCTGCAAACAATAGGGCGCCCTATTGTTGATGACCGGTGGCTTCGCTGCGTTTCCATAGGAGTTAAAGGGAAACTGAACCGAAATTTGAATTTCGCTAGATAAGACCTCAAAAGCTTTGAACGGGACGCTACGAACTCCAAAACATCTCTCATGCGTTGACACCTCAAACAGATGGCCGTACTTTGGGAAAGAAGGGCGCGATCAAGCGAGGGCTATGACGTCACGATCCTCCTAGAGCAGTTGAGAATGAGGGGAAGCGGGGTTTTCTCCTCCTCGCTTTGGCTTCCGGACGATGCGAGGAGGAGAGGGAACGAGAATCATGACGTCACATGCTCGTCGGCCATGTTCAATCGCGCATTCTTTTTTTTTTCTCCGAAAATACCGCCATCCGTTAGAGATATCACTGTACGAGTGGTGCTTTTGGGTTCTGCGGCGTCCCGCCTATCGCTCCAGCCCTGTTTTGTGAGCTCGAAATTTCGCCTCAGTATCCCTTTAAGCCTTTTTTTTTACTTTTTTCTCAAATAAGTTTGCTTTTTGTAAATTTTATAGAAAAAATGCACCACCTGTGGGCAACGCTGCACAAAATCGTAGCGCGACAGGTTACGACACCGATTTTCGAGGTCGATTTAAAGAGTCTGGCCGCTATTTGAGACACCCTGTACATCTTACAAAGAACAGTGTGCAGACAGTGTTTGAAGCGTGTTCCTTCCTTGTATGACGGCCACATTGGTCATACCAAAACTGTCTGTCGACATATACGTATGAAGCAAACGTGCTTCCAAGGTGCTTGAGACGTGTCCTCCGATAATGCTATCATCATACCTACAGCGAATACTGTATGTTTTGCGTGGCGTATGAGCTACGCGTCTACGTCATAAAAGTTGCAATTTTACAGTTCATTATGACGAGACGTGGTCAATTTTGTGATTGAGAAACTAGGTTAATAATGAAATATGTCTGCTACGAGCTTCTTCGTGCGGCAACAAAGCGGGAATTTGTCGAGGTGTGCTGCGTGTGATAATTTCCAAGTCCTAACTACCTCAGAAAAAAAAATAATAATTTATTTGAAAATACTGTCAGCCCTCTCTTGAGGGCTATTACAGGGAGAGTATCCATCGTTGTGATGACACATAAAAAAAGTACGCAAGCATAAGAAATTGTCAATGTAGCAGACACTGATGTTCGAACAAGCAATGACAACAATGCACAACCTTGGTCCTCTAAACAAATAAACAAATTGAACAAATTGACCCACATAATTATTACAAATTGCACACCTAAAGGATATCACTTTAAGCTCTCGTTATGTTAACAGCTTTGCGATGGAATCTTCAAAGTCGGTTTCCATCGAAATTTGCTTTTTATTGGGGACGAGCTGTTTTGGTGGCGCCACCTCGCGGCCGCCCTCCTGTGACGGAGTTGTTAGGATGCGAGCAGACGACGCGCCATGTCAAAGCACGGAGTAGCAGTGTTAGTTCGCATCTGTGCCGATTAAAAACGGTCTATTTAATAAAAAAAAAAAAAAAAAAAAAAACGTGTATAACGTTTTTTGTGAGAGATCTTCCAAATGAATAACTAGAGGCATCGAAGTTGCTTTTTATATTAAAAAAAAATCTTTAAAACGTCAAAAGCGGGTTTGAAGCTTCACATTGCGCGGCGTGCGTCAGGGCTACTCACAGCCTCTCTGTTGTTTTTTTTGTTTTTTGTTTTTTTTTGTGTCTGTGGAGGTTTTTGTAAAAAAAGGTTTTGCATTTACCAGAGTAAAGGACGTTTTGTCTTCTCAGCTGTGCACGCGCGCACAGTTGTGCTGCAAAGCGCCGCACACTTTTTTTTTTTTTTTTTTTGCCGATACCGACGCTTCTATCCAAGTGTGGCTCGACAGCTGCTGCCGAGCAAAAGCTGGTCAGGAACTGACGCTTAGCTCCTCCCGAATCGAATACGCGGCAAAGAAGTTTGTCACACCACGACTTGTGCTCGAAAGAAAAGCGGGCATTTTCATAAATACTTAAATTGTCAAAACACACCCCGGCAAATTGAGGCGATTGATTAATTTGTTCTATTCAGTTTTTGCTAAGAACCATTTACAAACTTAAAATCACTCGTTGAGAAGTACATTGAGTATTATGAGTATTTGGGTTCGCAAAATTAAACATACAAACGATAGTAACTTATTGGTGTATTTCCTCTTTTGGGACGCTGAAGTGTCACCGACTTATTATATTTAAGACTTCAATGGCGAGGGAATCTCGAACGTTTCACGTAGACCGGGTGAATAAGCAGATATTTAGTTGAGCCGACACCGGAGGCAGCCACCGCTACTGCCAGTTATTTCGAGGAAATGTTTGTTTACTAGTTTGCAAAATTAAAAAAAAATTAAAAATAAATAAAACATCTTGAAACTAATAAAGGACCATCACTCACAGAACACATTGGAACCAACAGGGTACACGGAGTCGCTTTCACAGAAGTGTTTACACACGCGAGAGGTTTTTTGAATTTCACTCTCCTATTTTCACTTTGGTGAGACATTACTTTCTCTGTTTTATTTTTTCCGAATCATAATAATAATATTAATAAAAAAGTACATTCTATTCGCCGTGGTGGACGTTGTAGTGGGATAAAGCGCTGTATATTCAATTTTCATCATCTAGCTTTTTGTACTGGTAGAAAACAACTCACCACCATCCGAGCACTTCGATACTACAGCGCCAAAAGTGTTTTTTTAGCACGACTGTGCGTGCCACGGTTTCAAGCTTTGGTCAAATGTCTTACAACAAATATCACTCCACGGAAAAAAACAGAACGCGTGAAAGATGCTTTGCCGGGCGCGTTACCCAAACAGAGCATGAAGCGAGCTGACGAGCCGAGTGACCCAAGATCTGCGAGGTCTGTCCCAGTCTGTCCTACCGGTGACGTCATAAACGATGATGATGATGGCTAGAAAAGCGCCCCCTGTAGTTCGCGCACGCCGCCAATACACCGGGCGCGCACTATCGTCCTAAAAATACGTTACGGATACACCATTTTACTCCGAGCCCTACCACAGCCGACGCCACGACTGGAGGGAGCCAATCGAGAATGGCCAAAAGGGAATTTTCTAGGTGATCGTAGTATGTGTGCGCAGGGTTGTGAAGTACCTAGGTGAAGGTAACTGGAAATCGGTAGCTAGGTACTTTTTTTGTACCCGAGGCACAAACCTAGGTACTTTCATTTCTCGGTATCTATATCTGTATCTTAGGTACATTTTCCAGTAACTTGTAACTGAGTGAAGTTACTTTTTACAGGTAATTTTTTGTTCACTTCGACAAGCTGGTAAAAACTAAAACTCTTGAAGTATTATAAAAGGGTAAGACAGCGCAGAAAGACACGGACATGGAAGATGTACTCACTCGGAGCGCTGAACCGCTCCGTATGTGTACATCTTACCTGTCCGTGTCTTTTTACGCTGTTTTACCCTTTGAGTATGCAAAACCAACTAGCCCAACTCACCACTGTGCATGAAGTATTAACACACTACCATGTGCCGTGATTAACATTTATTTGGGTACGACCTGGGAGGCACTGACTTGATCGAACGACGTTTTAGCGAACGAAGCCCCGCCCATGATATTTTATCGAGCGACACTTTAGCGAGTGGCGGTGTTCATTTGAGCGAACAGTGGATTAGCGATGCCGTTCTAGCGACACCAACTTATTGAAAGGCTTCGGAACTCCATTTAGGGAAAGTAGCGACCTGCTACCTTAATCTCAAACGAAATTGGCTTCATTGCCTATTTGAAGCTAACATTATACACCAACTCATGTTTACAAACAAACCGGAGCGCCCCTAGCGGACGCCACCGGCGCCGCGCATGCGCGGTGGACGGTGGGCAAAAAGCTCGCCGTCGCCCATAAACAAACCATTCAATTGCGTTGTTGTCGGCGTCGGTGTGAGTCCCCGTGCACTTTTTCGCGTTCGAATTGTTGACTCTACATCCTCTTAACAATGTTTAACTACTTGAGCGGCTTCAGCAAAATTAACGAGGCTCGTTACACCGCGAAATTTTGCGTGAATAATGTGATGTGCGGCGATTCATTTCACGTGGACTACGCAGAATGGGCGCTAAAGCCTGACTCCCACGATGAGATTTATCTCGCTATTTTCAGTCGCGACGTCGCTCGGGCTGCAAAAGCGTGGACCGTAGCTGAGATGGTGGACGTCGATACTGAAAACCGCAAGTAGAATCGGGCATTACAAATCGGTGACGGCCACTGCCACTGGTAACATGATCAACATCTTGTATCTACTGTTTACACTTAGCCTACTTACCCCAACCAACCTTCAAAAGTGTTTTGAGGCCTGCACTTACTTCTTATCGCAATTACCGGGTCAACGTTTCGTTTACGGGCTGCTGTCGTTTGAACGAGCTGACGACAAAAAGCAGACAAGTTTGACAGAGCAGACGATAGTTCAAACAGATGCGCAATGGAGTGCGGGCAGGAGGCACCGCGTCCCGCGTCAACAAACCATTGGAATGTCACGCTGTCGGCGTCTGTGTGAGTCTGCATACTCTTTTCGCGTTAGAAATGTCGATTTTACGTCCCCATATGTCTTACCACTTTAATCGCCTGAGCGAAATTATCAAGGTTCGTTACACCGCTAAACATTGCGTAAATAATTTGAAGTGCTGCGATTCATTCGTATGAACGCCGCAGAATGGACGCCAAAGCCATGATGAATATTCTTCTAGCTCTTTTCGGTCGCAACGTCGCTCGTGTTGCAAAAGTGTAGAAGGTAGCAGCGATGATCGACGTCGATGCTGAAAATCGGAAGCGGGAACAGACCAAGCCTAACAAGTCGGTGATTTCCATTGGTACCTATGATCAATATCTTGTATCAACTGTTTACACCGAGCCAACTTAAGTCTTTTGAGGCCTGCGATTACAGCTTCTTGCAATCACCGGGTCAAAGTTTGGTCTACGAGCCGCTTTTGTTTGAACGAGCAGACGACAAAAAGCAGACAAGTTCGAAAGAGCAGACGATCAGGCGGCCGTGTGAATTTGAAGACGCACTGAACCCGCGGGTGGTCGGACACCTTGGCGGTTTTGTCTCGTTCATGTTGGAACAAAACAAATACATCTGGCGACCACAAAGTGTTGCCCGCACAAGCAATCGTAGTTCGACGGCGTCTGGTTTGACCTTTTCACGGCCACTATCCACGTTCTCAGACAAACGGAGGGGGCAGAAACACATGAAAACTGATCTTCAAACCTTTCTGGACCCTCTTGGTACAGCCCCGTCGCAGCATTTCGACAAAAAGGCAGGTTTTTTGTCTGGTTTCTCCCAAAAGAACGCGAGAATGCATGTCTCGCACCGCGACTTCTGCCCACCACCCCAGACCGGAAGTGCGACCGACGCGCCACCACCACGGTGTGACGAAGGAGAGTTGAGTTGGTGTATACCTATTAAAGGGGGGAGATAACTTCAAAGATGTACGTAGTTTCTGTTGCCTGCATCTTGTCCTGGTGGCGGCTCTCTTCTGCCATAAATATAACATAAAATATAATTGAAAATAAATTAAATTACAATCGTACAGCAATCGAACATCGCATATATAATAAAGTTTCCACCTCATAAATCGGACTTAAATATTGCAGTTATCAAAAGTAAGAAAGTTCCGAAAAAAAAAAAAAAAAAGCTTGAAGCATTTTGTTTGTTGTTGCAAAGGTTAGGTGCATATGCACTCCACTCATGCGTTTCTTCATGCGGCTGACGTCTTCTCGGCCCGTCGACATCAGCATCGTCTCTGCGGCATCTACAAGAGAGTTTCGGCGCTTTTCGCCTAACATTGTAAACACTGGAAGCTGTGGCCTCGGCGGACCAATTGGAGCGCATAGGAATAAGGCACGTGAGAACTTAATTCTGATGTGGACATCGCATTTACGCCAATAAAGCACGTTTATCAAACTCGTTTTTGTGTGTATCCTCAGTATAAAAAGCTTTACTCCCAATACATCCTGACCAATTTGGGGGAAATAAGTAGAGTATCTTTGAAGTAACTGTACCTGTACCTAGGTACATCTTTAAGCAAGTACTTAGGTACGTACCAAGGTACCTTGTCGTATGAGTAACTGTAACTGTATCTTAGGTACATTTTTGAAGTAACTTTTACAACCCTGTGTGTGCGTCAACAATCAGCGGCCCAGCCAATCATGCATAGCGAACGCGCCGTGACCCTACGTTTCTACTGCGCATAATTTGGTTTGGCCGATGATAGAAAAGGCAAAAAGAAAACGCGCGCGCTATGACGATGACTTTGGCCGCTGCTTGGGTGGCTCCATTAGATCGTGGCGGTGGTTGCGATTCGACCTAATGGGAAACGAAGCTCTAGTATTTATGGGGGGACGAGTTTGTACACAGTTAGCTCGAGGTGCTCGAGAATCCGATGCCGATTCAGGATAATTTTCGATCCCAGTCTGCCAGTTTCTTTGTATAGAAAAGCAGGTGTAGACCAGAGCAGCCGAACCGAAAATCGAATTTCAGAAAACAACGCACGATCGAAAGGCGGGACGCCACAAATCCCAAAACGTCACTCACAAAGCGGTATCTCGAACGGATCGTCATACTTTTGTAAAAGAAGAGCACGCTCTCCCAAGGCCGAAAAGACGCGTGACCTCGCGATTCTCATTCCCTCCTCTTTTCGCTTTAACTCCGCGAAGGCGCGGAGAGGAAAGGGAGCGAGGCCATTTCTCCTCCTTCTCAAGTCCTCTGCGATAAGATGACGTCAACATTCTCCCTCATTCGCTCCTTTATTTTCCAGAAATACGGCCATCCGTTCGAACTGTGGCTATATGAGTGATGTTTCGCGCTTTATGGCGCCCTGTTGAACACTTCTGCAAGCTTATTTTTTGAAATCCGAATTTCGGTTCAGCATCCTTTTAAACGTTGAAGGGTGCCTACCAAATTTGATGGTCTCTTTATTGGTTCTGCCCGTGCGTCCCCTGGCGTGTAATTAATAAATATCTTACCTATTATCATTATTATCATCATCATTATTATTATTACCTATTTGTGACAATTGGGGTGTCGTCTCTTGGTCAGTGTTGCGAAGTTATCGATTTTACCGCTATGTTTAGCGTTTTTTTTTTGTCGTTTAGCGGGAACAATAGACATTTTCTGACCGGTGGGATTTACAGCAGTTTTCAAGTCACGTTAGCGACTTTTTCCTGGCGGTCTTGAATGCTTTCGAATTTACATTTATGAATCATAAATAACATAATTTCTGCGGTAAGCTAGAGTCATGGGGCTGCCAATCTTGCTTTCTGACAGCACGATCGTCAGTGAGAGTAACGCTTGCGACTCCATTGAGATATTACAGTGCGAAACCTCAAAACATGCATTAGCTCATTTCTGCGTCAATATATGAATTTCTTTTCCAAGTCTGCCAGATGAAATGTGCCCAGTGAAGTATGCATAAAACCTTGAAAACATGGTGGCAATAAAATTCAAAGTTTCTGGTCTGGTTACTGGAAGCTCCAAACAGCGTTATGCTAGTCGTACACCGGAAACAGTATTTTTTTTTTGTTCAAATAGTTGAATTTGGTGGCTGAAGCTTTGAACTGTTACGAGATGTTGCACTAAAGATCAGAACAATATGGCGGTGTACGTCGGCAGGTATGGAGGACAATACACCTGGTCACACCTGGTAACAGTAAGGTCATGCAACGTACATTGTTCTTTGTAGAGAAGCGCCCTGCGTCAAACAACGTAGCTCGCTTCAAAGTTTTCTTTTTATGCATTGCGTTGTTTTTATACTAATTATTACAATAGGTTGTGCGCGCTTAAAATTTAGCGGTTTTTCGTGATTCCTATATCGAGTTTATATTTATTTTTGAGTTGGCAAAACTGCGCCTGATAGGCGGGGCGAGGGTGCCTCAGGTTGCGTCGTCTGCTCACTGCGCCGATCGGGAGATGGCGCCACAAGTTACATTCATCGCTAACTGGGTCGTATGCAAACACGCCCACCGTTCAGGCTGGCGAGTTTCTTTGTCTCATTTTATATAGGAACAGAACTACACCTTCCAATTTCACGAAGCAAAATTTACCACCTAAATGCACATTCGGTGTAGGATCCATGCCGTTTTTCGTGGTTCTTCTTGCAGCGAAGGAGCGCCATGACCACGCTATATTGGTTTGCTGCACCATCTGAAGCAGGATGCTACGGTGGCACCTTGGTGACCCTTGTTTGATTTCGTCTCAGAAAGTCGAGAAATTTCATACCGTAAAGGTAGTTGGAAAAATGTAGAAATTTCATACCGTATGGCATACCGCCATCTGTACCATATGGGCAAAGGTGGTGCTATCTTCTTTATACCCATTAGAACCGGTCTATAATGTGCCATTTGCATTACTACGCTAACATGCGTACGCGGCCCTTCTTAAACGAACCTGATTAAGTATGTAAAAATTAAAATCAAATTAGGGCGGGTTTTACGTGCCAAACCAACGTAGGACCTCTGCTCGCCCCAGCGGAGGGGTGAGGATCCATTTTGAACAGCTAAAGACATTTTGACGGGAAAACAAGGTATCGGTTACACGGTGCCTTCTGTGCGATAAGCCTCTGCCTAATAATGGGCACTTCGGCTGGGATTTGAACCCACTGTTTGGGGATCCGGTGCTTGGCCTCATGAATAGTACAACAGCGTGGATACACATACATGTTGTCTCAGCTGATCGTTTCTCGTATGCAGGTACAAACCACATAGCTCTTCAGGTGGACGTGGGTGAATCGAAGTCCGTGACTGCTCTTTTTGAGAGCATCTCCAAGCTGTGTTCCCAGCCTGCGAGCATCGTGATCAACTGTGCTGGCATGGGAATGAAGACCACAGATCTCGTGGACTTGACGGAGAAATGTTTTGACGATATTATCCGAGTAAATACTAAGGTAATTGTGCTGTCATCGCGGCAGATATAAGTACGCTGCCCATGACGTAACGCTCTTCGTCTTTTTTTTTTTAATGTTATTGGCAGAATATTTAAGGGACAAAACACTGCGGCGCATCAGGCATAACGATGATACATGTTTTGAACCACGGTTAAAAGCGCTAAAAAAACAACCACAAGAGAGAAGACAAAACACGGGCGCTCCCTTGTGTTTGTCTACTCTCTTGTGTTTGTCTTTTTAGCGTCTTTAGCCGTGGTTCAAAATGTTTATCAACGACTAGCCCAATAACAAGTACATTTAGCGATGACACATTTAGTTGTAAATTAAAATTTCCAAAACATCGATATATTTGTTAGCTCTGCGGTCAAATGATTAGTAATTTCACGCCGTGCTGATCGAAGACATCTCGGTAGACTTTTATTCCGTGAAAATCGCTGAGCTTGTTTCTGCTCAAGTCGAGCTTCAAACAGGACTTAATACCTCCAGATGTAAAGGAGTTCCTTCTTTATTCGTGTTTTATATCTCTTTCTGGCGAGATACCGTGCCTTGGTACCCCACGATACTCAAGCAGCTGATTAGGTTAGTCTGGTTTCCAGTGTATATCAAAAAAAAGAAAGAAAGAAAGAAATAGCGTACGTTTCATTATAGTTTGCTTAAAGTTTTACAGATTATGACGCATCCGGGATGCAGAGTGTGAAACATAAGTTAATGTAATTATATAATTCATGTAATTAAAGAATTCCTAGACGCAGCGCATTCCTACAAGCGGCACGCCACGTCTCCCTTTTGAACACGGCGTTCCGGTGGTTACATCACGCTCCTCCACTGCGCAGGCGCTTCGCCCCCGCCGGCTGCACGGCTTCCGTGGCGAAGCATCTGCGTTGCTGTGCTTTTCTTTGTATTTTATTTCTGAGGCGCGTCCGCTTTGACCTGGAGCGGTGTGTGCTTGATGACGTATTTTTATGCCCATCTTTCGGGCACAACCCCGACGCAACCTTTTCGCGTAATGGGACATACAAGGCTTTCGCCTTAAAAGTGTTCACTACATTTCGAGACCAATACTTTGTAAGTGGAGGTAAAGCGTTGATTAGGGCCGACCTTTGTCTATTCCTTTTAAGCAGCGTGCTGCTGGTTGCACTGCTTTTACGCCTAGAAGAGTAATGAATCGCTCAAGACATGTGCCTTAAAATAGTCGGGGCTTGTTTGAAGAAAGACGTCTAGACATTATCTGTTAGCACAAAGCATGAATTTTGTCATACGATCGTACTAAAGGCCGGTAGGTAACCCTGACTCTTTTTTTTTTTTTTAGTTCTAGAAGTATAAATTACGGTTAATATTTCTAAACAAAAAAAAAATCTTTGGTTTGTTGCTGCATAAAGTACAGTATTATATTTTAAATAAAACCACCACCAATATGATTTAATTGTCTTTTGCCATACGCACCTATAGTAGAGTGTTTCGTGACAAAGAACACTTAAGAATAGCAAAAATGCCTGAATGGCAATCATTCCCACGGAACAACATAAAACACAAAATAATTTTTTCGACCCTAGTTACATAGACGTTTTTCGCTGGAAAATCAGAGAGAAAATCGGGTCGGTGTTTCAATGTGAGAGCGCGCGAGCATAACCTGTCGGCACGAAGCATTTGGGCGGTCATCTTGCTGAGCACGTTAAAAGTTGTGGGTGTAAACCGCTTTTGAATTTGACCAAGTTCCTGAAGAGGGCAAAGGACGAGACAGAAAAGAAAATTACAAAGGCGTTTTTATAAAAACAAAAAAGAAAAAAGCGGGACACAAGTGCGTCAGCATATCGTCGGTATGTCTCATTGACAAAGAATTATCCTTTCTTAATGGTTTTATCTGAAGATATGAGCGTATGGTACACACGTAATCTTAATGTGTAACTAGTTTTTGTGCTCTTTTATGTCCGCAAGTGATAGTATGTATTGTTTGGTTGGATGATGCGATAAACTTAGTTGGAAGTCGACGCCAGTCCTTTAGTACCTGTGCTTTTTTTTTTGTCCCTGTCAAGTTCGCGCTATTTAAATCATGTCTAATACGAACCAACTAGCCCCATCAAAAGTCGCGTTACAACATAGAACGCGAATGCAGTTTATAAATATATAGAGATGACGTCAGTTTTTTGCCTGTAACAATTATTACCGACGGTAAAAAAATTGTTTCTTTCTTTTCTGTCAATTGGAAACGCACTACGCCGCTTACTTAGGTACATAAAAGATGAAAGACGTTTTACAATTCTCTGTAATGCCGAATTAGGGCGCAGCTCTTGAGGAGGAGGGAAGGGTATGTGCCTCCTCCCCATCTATACCCTCCACTCCTCTCCTGTTCCCCTTCCATTTAGCGGGATATTTCGCTAAATGTCGCGCTAAATTTAGCAGGGTAATCTTCCCAGTAAATTAAGCGGGAAATTATTCCACTAAATTTAGCGGGGAAATTTTTTTGCTAAATTTGACAAGAAAATTTTTCTGCTAAATTTAGCGGGACAATTTTTCAGCTAAATTTCGCGGGGATATTTTTCGCTAAACTTAGCGGGAGAAGTTCTCTGCTTTTTCTGGGCGCGGTTACGGCAACGGCAACGGCGACGCCGTTCAAGCCGGAATCGGGCGCTTAGGAGCTGCGCTCTAAAACTGAGAACGTGAAACTGTTATTGAGGAGGACGCACAGACCGTCTCCTAGTATTTTAGAGCGCAGCTCTTAGGCCTGATTCACATTTGTGAATCGGCGGGCGAATCTGCAAGAATTCGGCCGCCGGGCGCACTGTGCATTGCCGCGGCCAATTCCTCTTTGGCAGCAGTGGATTAGCTGCAAGTGTGAACCAGGCCTTAAGGCTGAACTCATGGGACGAATATGCCGCGAATAACCGACGAATTTTGCCCGGCGGCTTTTGCTCTGCGCGTGGTATCAACACAGTGGCTGCTACGTCGCGCGCAAATCGAGCGTGACGTCGAGCGGCGTTCGCCAGTTATTCGTCACAATTCGTTCCATGGAGTTCAGCCTTTAGGCGCCCGTTCCCGGCTTGAGCGGCGTCGCTGTCGCCGTCGCTGTCGTCGTAACCGCGCGTTGCATTATGGGACGTTTCCCATAATAACGTCACACGTGACGTCGCGTGTGACGTCACAAAGGCAATATTTTCCCACTAAGTTTGGCAGAAAATTTTTCCGTTGAATTCAGTGGGAAAATTTCTTCGCTAAATTTAGCGGAATATTTTTACCCTCGTGAAATCACACGTTACGCCACTCAACCCGGAAATATTTTTCCGCTAAATTTAGCGGGGAAATTTTACTTTTGTGACGTTACACGTGATGTCAGGTCTTATATCAAAAGGGACGTCGCGTGTGTCGTCACGAGAGTAATATTCTTTCACTAAATTTAGCGGAAAAACTTCCCCGAAAAATTTAGCGTGCAAATTTTCTCGCTAAATTTAGCGAAAAATTTTTCCGCAAAATTTAGCTGGAAATTTTTACCCTTGTGATGTCACACCTGGCGTCACGTAACGTCACACCTGACCCTCCTCTCTGTACCCGTCCCTCCTCCTTCTCAAAAGCTGCGCTCTAATTCGGCATTACAGAGAGTTGTAAACGTCTTTCAGTTTTCTTTCCTTGTTACTCTCTATACACGTTTTCTGTTTCCTGTCGTTCTCAGTCACGTGGGTTCCGTATCTGGTATGCGGGACGAAAAATTAATAAAACATTTCAATCTGGAATCTGCGAGAAAAGATGGGTGAGGCGAAACAAGAATGTATGACAATCACGCATTTTTCGTAAACACCTGCCAGCAGTGTGGAGAGATTAAAAAAAAAACACGATGTTTTACCGCATACCAGAAGGGACGGCATTCAAGATGGCTGCGCTCTTGTGGAAAAGGTGTATACAGCTGCGCCCGACGGCTCAGTCGATGACTTTGGGTGGGATAGGGACGATTGTGAAGCCGGTGGCGACTCGGGCGAGTTGTTTCAATGCAGATAACATTAGTGAAAAGACGGTAAATGAGCCGGTGAGCTGGCGGTAATTAATCATGTCGTCCGATGTACCTGTAGCGCACGTGGTAAATCCATATGAAGTGTCTTTTTCTAGCAAGACAGAACAAACACTGAGGAATGGCCCGAAGTATTGTGTGGACGTAAAATCCTCAAGGATAGATGTGTTCTCTGCCATTCATTCTATATCTAAAATGACAAATCATGATAAAAAAAGCTGGGTTCGTGGATTGTACTGTTGATCAAATGGATAAACCAATGTATAACACTTATCGAGATGAAAAGAGAGATTCTCGTTTCATAACCACTGCCGTGAGGGAGCTAGAAATGGGATCCCTCCGGTTGTTGTAATCTGACAAAAATGGCATGTTTGACACTTTTCCAGAGGCAGTGTTTCGAAAATAGTCAGAGGAAACCATCAACACGTCTTTTGTTGAATGGAAAGGGGACATTAGAAATATTAGAAGGTAAATTGTTACAATCGTAAAGTACGATGAGATGGAATCTTTAGCTGAGCAAGTAATAAGCCAAACAAAATCTTCGTTAAGTATAAGATGCTTATTGAACGATCATAAGCCTGATATGCTCCTTTTCACTGTGATCAACGAACTTGGAACGTGGCAATGTAGCGTCTCAAAGTTTTTACAAAAATGGTTGAATGTAGTTCAGTTAGAAAAGAGCCTTTCACTAAGGAATTCGGAAGCATTAATCGATGTTCTAGAGGGGTTCTATAGAAAAAAGTGTTCTGTATTCTCCATGCACATCAAGTATTTATTATATTCACTAGAGAAAGTCCGCTTTTTCCAGAGAGTCAGGCGAGTGCTTAAGTTGAATTCGGTAAACTTCTCAGTCTAGGATAGGCATCGTCGTATACAGTTTTCCTTCTTTTCTTGAATTGTACCTTCAGGCGACAGTTGTTGAATATAATTGTCGGAAATATGTTCAGAGGGATGGCGTGTGCATCGGATCATCCATGGCTCCGAGACTAGCAGAAATCTATCTATAAACACCTTAGATAGCTCCGTAACTGACCAGGTAAACGAGAAGAAATTGGATGGTTGCTTTACAGGAAGGTACGTTGATGACATTTTCATTTGTGCTTTTCAAGAGAATTATGCTCAGGGCTTGAAATTGATCGCGAGAACAGCAGCCCCGGAGCTTAAGTTTACATCGGAACAACCTGAAGATAGGATCTTGCAATTTCATGATTTACGCATACACGTAAAACAGGGTCTTCGCTGGGAGTACGGGAAGAAAGCCGCAAAACCGGTGTTAAGTAGAAATAGTTGTCACGCTAAAGCGGTAAAAAAAGGTGTTACAAACTCCTTAATAACAAACGCGTTGCGCAAATCGTGCACTTATTTTATGGGCAATACGGTGAAGGGACATTGGATGAGGCTATAGAAGCTGCAGGATATAAAAAAAATCATAGAAAAGGTAATTGGAATTGAAGTTTAAAGATGGCCATCAGCAAAAGGAACAAACAAGAAAGATGATAGCAGTGATCCCGTCTTTCCATGGGATTTCCCATAACCTAAAACTTTGCGCCAAAAAAGTTTGGAGTAGACGTAGTATTCTCCACAGGTTTCAAAATGAGCAGGTTGACGCCATTTCAGTCAATTCATAGAGGCTGCCAGAAGGCTCATCGGGAACCTTCAATTTCTTGCGTAGACAGTGCGATGTATGAGATACCGTTAGCATGCGGGTTCAAGTACGTAGGACAAACATCAAGATGCGTAAACGACAGGTTATTAGAACATAAGCAGAAATGTGTCGAACTCAGAAATCGCAAAATACATTTAGGAATGCAGCAATTGTACTGCGTACGAGTCAGAGACAAAAGCTCTACACAAAGAGCAGAATGATATAAAGAGACTCGGTAGTGAAAGAAACAATATAGGTCTACCGACAACTGCGTAAGCCTTGCCTTGATGCAGCTTGGAAGCTACGGCAAAAAATTCCTCAGAATATAAACAACACCTCAGATTGTTGTTTTTTTTTTTTTATTAGAGAGAAAGATATTTGAAGCGCTGTTAATATTTGAGAAGCTTTACCTGGGTTAAGGTACAAAGCCCAGCAGTCACCGTGTTCCTGATGTCAAACAAATTTAAGTCACGGAAGCCTCTCCCGCCGCCCTTTGTGGTAGAGGCATTACATTGTGGGTTTGACCGTGTGGTCCCTTGCAAATGTGAATGCTCTCTGCATTTGAAAATGCTTTTAACAAGGAAGATCTCTGCGTTGACGGTGGTCGACAGTGATGGTATTGTGGGTTTGACCACTTGGTCTCCTGTTAATGTTTATGTTTGTTTTGTATTTGACGATATTTTCAGCAAATGAGATATTTGCGTAGAAGGTGGCTGAGAGTGGCTGTGTGGTTGATATAGAATGCTTCAGAGATAAAGCAGTTAGCTGAGTTAAAAAAAAAAAAAAAAACAATGCAGACGTTTCCTTCTGCGTCTGTTCCTTCGACTAAAGGTTTTTCATTTTCTGCACCACAGTCTTAGCCTTAGGTGTTAAACCGCAGATAACAATTTGGACCTCGAGAGTGTAATTGTGGAATGATCAAGAACTTCAAGTTCTTGATCGGTGATTTGAGGGACTCACATCACCGATCAAAGTCAGCAGCGCGTAAAATTTTCCTTTACCTATTTAAAAATATATTTAATACCTACTAGATAAAACGCTGCTAAAAAAAGAAATTGAACTGAAATATTACACTTCGTCTGCACACAGAGAAAGCAGAGATGGCAAACCGGGATCAAAAGAACGGCGCAGTTGGCCGGTTGACCGGTGCGCGCGTCCATGATTGCCGCGATCGATAAGAGGGAAAGAGAGAAATTCAATTGGCACTTGCGGTTTGAAGTCATAAAAGGAATTGATAGCGAGATTTATATACAGCATTTGACATGCATCAAATGCTGTATTGGTGGAGAAATCGTTTAAATTAGTTAAGAAGCCATTAAAGAGTCGTTTCGGGGAGTTAAGTATATCTTTTCTTGTGAATTTCCCCTCTAAGTTTAATAGGGAAACGGACTTAGTACAAAGAACGTGACGCCAATTTTTCCGCTGTATTTAGAGGGAAACGTAATTTATGTACACGTCTCCTGACGTCAGGTAACGTGACATAAATTTCCCCGACAAATGTAGGGAGAAAACTGAATTGGTCTATAGGCCCCTTGACGTTAATTTTCACGCTACATACATAGTGGGAAAACGGGGTATGTAGGCTACGTGACATCAATTTCCCCGCTAAGGTTAGCATGGAATGCACTGATGGGCCGACGGCCAATACATTGGGATCGAGGGATCTGGTAAAAGGCATTTCATGCTTTAAAAAACGAGGACCGTGCACCACTTCGCTATTTACATCATTGAGTCGAGTGTAAGTTTCAAACTTAGGCTTTAGATTTTTTTTTTTTTTTTACTTTCCAAGTACGAGTAAGTCGAGTGCAATGATAAAAATTACAGATGTCGGTGTTGTCTGCAGCCTTTTAAGTATCTGACGCGATAATTTTCTCAGAAGAGTTTACTAGGATGGATACGGTTGGAGGCCAAATGGATAATTCCCATTTGATTGTTAAATGCATAAAATGAAAATGTTACTGCAAACTATCAAAACGTTAGTAAAGATGTACGCCATCACGCGACTGTGAGGTCACGTCGCTACAGTGGTGTTGTTGTCGTTTCGGCGCGTGCGTAGTGCCCACTCCTGGTTTGGGTAAATTTTGACTTATTTGTCAAGAGCGTGTCCGTCTATACGTCATTTTCTTCGATATTTGTAGGGCACATTTCTGGTGAACCAGGCAGCGGCACGGGCAATGACAGCCGGGAGCGTTCGCGACGGCGCCATCGTCAACATAGCGAGCTTGGAGGCCACGCAATGCAGCCCCGGCTGGAGCGCCTACGCAGCGGCCAAGGCGGGCGTCGTGGCGCTCACCAAAGTGGCGGCGAAGGAACTGGCCTCGCTGGGAATCCGCGTCAACTGCGTCCTGCCGACGGTCACGGACACGCCCATGTCCGCACCGGGAAAGCACACCGAAGAAAGGAAGAAGTTGCTGGAGTCCATTCCTCTGAAGAGATCCTGCCGCCCGGAGGAGGTGACCGAGGTCATCCTGTTCTTGTGTGGCCCGGGAAGTTCTTTTATGACGGGCGCTGCAGTGGATATCTCGGGTGGGCTGTAACCTTCGCGCTTGGCACTTCCCTCGCAGTAAAATGTCTGCTTCGAGAACTAATTTTGTTTTGGTTATCAAATAAATAGGCTTGGTTATGTAGGCTAAAGTAAAATTACGTTTGCAATGATGTTTCGATATTATACACGTCCTATCAAAACGGAATGAAACACAAACGCCAAAATACGCGGCCTTTGGTATAAACTGCGCCATCTAATGGTGTATTTCCACCAAGAAGCTTTTCCCCGACTAAACCTGATTATACGTCATCGAGTTTTGAGGTCATGTTAGCCACGTCGAGGATGTTCGCTAACCCTCCAGTTAGCCGGAACCCACGAAAAAATCTGCGACTGTCCTGCAAAATATCTGTCGTCCTGTCGGAGCAACCTGTCCTACCCGTTATTTCCTTCATTTTCGGGGAAGGATTACGGTCAACAACATAGAGGTGTCAGGTGTTCTTTTTACTCTCTCTCTTTTCTTTTCTTTTCTTTGTTTGGTGAGCTTTCGAAGGCTCACGAAACAACTCGTTCGCGAAAATGAAGACTCTGCCTACTCAACTACATGCGACTCAGTCGTGCGAATGCTCGCCCTGTTCTTCCGCATCACGCCCTCCTTCACGCGGCCTTTCCTTCTTGCAGATATATGTCGTACTTCGTTTTCCCCGGATATATATATATATATATATATATATATATATATATATATATATATATATATATATATGTATATGGGTGATTTCATCTCAAATCGTGCAGGCAAAAATGGTCAAATTTTTAATTTCGCTGAAACAAAAATATATGTGATGGCGCCGTCTCTAAAAACGCAGTCGCTACAAACCGCAAGTTCGTCGGATTTTTTTTTGTTCTCGACTTACGAATTTTAAGAGGCCGCGGCGGAAAGCAGTGTTTTTCACATCCGTCCTGGGGCGGATGTTTCCCTCGATCTTCCCCGCCGTGAATTTTCAGTCCACGTCATATTAAATTTTTTTCAAGCACTCTGTGAGCACAGTTAAAAGGCTCGAATGCCATAAATTAAACTTAGGCGTTTTGCTTTTTTTCTGTAAAAATGCGAAATACGCCCCCTCGGTTAATTGTTGATGAACTTTGACAATTCAATACTGGCGATCTACTTGGGTTACATCGATATTTTTTATGTCTATGGAGAGCCCAAAACACGCTTTTTTTGTATATTATAAACTCACTCAGGCTGTAGAAAATTTCCTTTGCGGTACGTTTACATTAATCTTTGGCTAAAACCAAAAAAAGTATCAATTTTAAAGTCGATTTTCTAAAAAAAAAATTTTTTATTTTTTTTTTATTTTTTGTTAAAATGTAGATATGATAGTTGTCTACTCGAACATTACGTCGATAAAGTGTGTATTTTGTTCGTATTTTCTATATTTAAGCCTCATTATTGGAAAAAAAAAAAGACGTCTTCGTTTTGCAAGATCTAAGTCAGACATAGCGACCCGTGCGTTTCTATGAATTGTGAAAAAGTTTTCTTGACTTTTGAATAGCGTTTTGTAATCAAATTATAAACGCAATTTGTGGTACTGAATAGTTATTTATGTTTTGATAAGAGCGGGAAACTACTAGAGGTGGACCTATCGCCTTGCCACCGGTCGAAGCTATATCTTAATAATCTTTTGACGTGCTTTTCATTAAGATCGGAGTTGGGTATATTTATTTCCTTCCCCTCTCCTAGACAATCTCTCCGTCTGTTTCGGACCGTTTCTGTGTCTTCACTTTTGTGTGTTACAGAAGTGAAAGGCAATTAATTCCCTTGTGATTTGTGCGATGTGCGGTGAACAAACCCTAGCGTTTGGTTTCGGAATGAATTGTATATAATATAGCAATGATGTGGTGACTTTCGATGTCTTAGTAATATGATAGCTAATAGCTAGTGATGCTAGTTTACAGTTAAAGTTTAATAAATCGAAACAATATACAACGTCTGTGCCTCTTCGATATTGAGTCTACTAGGCCTGCTGAATTGATTTGATATGTTGCTAGTGGTTTCCCGCTCTTATCAAAACATAAATAACTATTCAATACCACAAATTGCGTTTATAACTGTTTACAAAACGCTAACAAAAATTCAAGAAAACTTTTTCACAATTCATAAAAACGCACGGGTCGCTGTCTGACTTAAATCTTGCAAAACGAAGACGTCTTTTTCCGATATTGAGGCTTAAACATAAAAAAAATACGAAAAAATACACACTTTCTGGACTTGATTTTCGAGTAGACAACTATCATATCTATATTTAAAAAAAAAAAGGATTTTTTGAGAAAATCGATCTTAAAATTGACACTTTTTGGTTTTAGCATAAGAATAATGTAAACGCACCGCAAAAGAAATTTTCTACAGCTAAGTGGTTTTGTAATATATATAACAAGCGTGTTTTGGGCTCTCCATAGACATAAAAAAATATCGATCTAACCCAAGCAGATCGCCAGTATTTAATTGTCAAAGTTCATCAACAATTAACCGAGGGGGCGTATTTCACATTTTTACAGAAACGAAAAGCAAAAAGCCTACATTTTTCCATGGCATTAGAGCCTTTTAACTCTGCTCACAGAGTGCTTGAAAAAAGTTAATATGATGTGGACTGAAAATCCACGGCGGGAGATCGAGCGAAACATCCGCCCCACGACGGATGTCAAAAACACTGCTTTCCGTCGCGGCCTCTTAAAATTCGTAAGTCGAGAACAAAAAATCCGACGAGCTTGCGGTTTGTAGCGACTGCGTTTTTAGAGACGGTGCCATGACATATTTTTATTTTCAGCGAAATTAAAAATTCGAACATTTTTGCCTGCACGATTTGAGATGAAATCAATATAAATGTCGTGCGAATACACCATAAGATTCGCACGCGCCTACCGCAAACACCTGGCACTGTAGAAGAACGTAGGCATTATAGCTCCGGTATTGAAGTGGGGATATTGTCTTTTTTTGTCGCAATGTTGGCTCAAACACCTCACATTTTTCCGGATGTAGCAAGGTTCACACTTTGGCGCTAAAAGCTCAGAGCCGCTACGTCATCAGACACGAAGTTGGGACTGAAGTTCGCGGAGCTTCCCGATTGAACTCGTGCGACGATGACCTCAGACGGGACGAGATGTCAATCATCCGAACTCCCTCCTTTTTCTAATTTCACTTTCTGGAGAGCCTCCTGGAAGGATTTTTGGTAGGGGCTCCACACTGGTGAGTAGAACTCCAGCTGGGGGAGCACCAGTTCATGTGGTTTCACCGTCAACTTGATGTTGACGGTGGAAACTGACAGGGGATCGTGCTCTTGTGGCGAGGTCATGGCGCTGCTGCCAAGTTCCGGGTCACCAATATTGAGGGGGCGAGCGAGGTACGACAAAAGAACGACCTGAAAGCTTGCGTACCAGATCTCAACTGCTTTATTCTTCTTCCTCGTCGATCTCCTTTTTATTTTGTCTCCTCTAGCGGGAGTGAAAATAAATCGTCTCCGATGAAAAAGTGCGCATGGTCGTTCTCGCGTGCGGCGAGCTGTGTGGCTTTGAGCCACTACAGGTTGGATACACTTGGTGGCAAGCCTCGGGTAAAGGGATATGCAAACTGGCGGCGTGGTCCATGAACAGGGAGTGATATTTTTCGAAAAGTCGTTTCATTCTGGTTGTCATCCTCTGCAACAGGGTACAGATGAACTGCGGGGAGAGGCCTGCACGCAAAGAAGAAACTATCTGCAGAAAAAGGGTGCCAAATACCTGAAACCTTTGGGTGGAGATGAGTTTTTGTTTAAAGTTATTATCCGTTTTATTGTTTTTTTTTGTTTTTTGTTTTTTTGCAAGCTTCGAACGTTAGTAGTCGCCCGACGGTGGAATCTTTTTTCTGCAGTCTCAGTTGGTGTTAATGCAGAATGGATCAGTAACGCCAGCCAAAATCAAGTTGTGGCATAACAGGCCACCAGAAGGTGGGTAAGGTTCGTTTGCAACCTTTTTGACAATGAGCGCTGCACTTCTAAATTGCATATTGCAGTATTTTCACGTTTCATTTGAAAAAAAAAAAAAAATTAAGACTGCTTTTGAAAAATTTGTTTTATTTAAAAAAATGCATAGCGAAAACCGTTTTTTTTTTTTTTTTTTTTTTGGGGGGGGGGGGGCAATGTTTTGATCTTTTGAAGCACACTTGTGCTTGATGCATGTCGCCGCAAAAAAATATTATGACCACCAAGTACATCGAGCAAAAGGTGTATTAAAAAATTCATCAGAGATACTTAAAGGGGTACTCCGCCGATTTCTTCATGGTCCCCGATTTGCTTGAAATTTTGCTAAACTCGCCAAACAACATCGCCAAAATAGTATCCCAAATATTAGGTCAAAATATTTTTTTTTCACGAAGTTATTTAATTTACAATTTTGGTCCTCACCGTGTTTTTCAAACTGAAAGTCTCTACTGGCAACAATGAAAAAGTGACGTCAGTGGAAGTGCTGGGGTTCACTCTTTGGACTGTAGAATTTGTTCCCAACTGATTCGAAGCAGTTTCATGGTGTCAAATGAATGCTTTGGAAGCTCGCTCCAGGACCAATACCACCTAGAAGACAAGGCCTGCGCATGACGTTTCGTTAGTAGATCCCCGACCCGCCCCAAGCGGCAAACACGCCGAAGCTTGACGAGAGTAGGGGCCGCGTCGCAACTACGTCGCATTCACTTGCGGCCGCAGCTGTGTGCGTGACTGCTGAGCGCGAGCTGATAGCGAGCTTCCAGTGCATTTGCGACGTGCACGCGAACGCTCCCTCGGCCAGGAGCGCGAGCTAGCACGCGCTCCTGGCTTTGAGACGCGCATTTCTAGCGCGCGCGCTCGTTCTGCGGCAGAACGCTTCGAAGCAGCTACCCGAGGTATAAACAGCGCCCTCGAAAATGGCGTCCAGTGTCAGCGTCCAGCGTCCAACGAAGGGCTTTTCAGCCCTTCGCGCAGCAGTAAGGCAATTTCGCATGCATTTGACGCTCCACGTGAACGTCTAACTTCATCGTACGCTCTT